TATGTATTCAGGATATATGTACTGGTACATAAACGTAAAGTGAATCACACGTCATAACCTACGTTCTCCTGCAAGTAATACACGTGTACGTAAATCTGCGTCACGAGTAAGTACATGTACGTCGACTGCAGTCCTAATATAAGTCTCCCAAATAGTGCTTACAAGTACTGTACATGTACATGTACTCTGCAATCTTTTCATTCAGGTTGTGTTGGCTGCTGTGAGTGATGTATTTCGGGCAATGTTCACAGGGGGTCTGAAGGAAGCTAGCCAATCAGAGGTGGTGTTACAAGACGAGGTGGACCTGTCAGCCGAGGGTTTTGAAGTGAGACTGAAATATATTCCTTTTTTTGTCTCTTTTGTTGGAATTACATGTAACCCTTCATTTCCATATTTTTGAAATAAGTGTGTTTAGAGATACATGTACTTTTACTTCATCGTTCCAAATGTTGACTTGTTTTGCCCAGTACCTTAACTTTTTTGGTTGTCAGCAGAATCTAGGTTCCCATTTTGCAAAAAGCAAACTACATGTAAAGCAGATTGCGAATCACTGAGTCTGATCTTCAAAGGGTTCCTGCGGCCTGGAAAAGTCATGGAATTTTGTCATGGAAGTCATAAAACACTGTGTTTTCTACATGTATTTTCAGGCAATGTCAGGAATAAGTGCATACTATCTCTGATTGTATTTTCAACCTACATGTACATGTACATGTACATGTAAAAGGCTGAAAAGTCCAAGAAATTGCATTACTTGGTCATGGATTTTCATAATTCAGTCGTGGAAAAGCCATGGAATTTAATTGTCCTGTAGGTGCAGGAACCCTGTCTTTATCATTTGCAGCTAGAAATAGCGATTGAGTCTTTGCCACGGAACTGTGTTGTTCCTGGCGACAACCTTTCAATATGATCAGGGCTTTAAATCATTTGAAATCTGAGGGGAAGCATTATCTCAACGCCATGTACATCAATTTTGCAATTGGGGCTAGTCAACTGACCGTGGTGTCATGAAGTGCTCTCCTCCCCGCTCCCCCCCCCAAGAAAATAATAAAAATAAAGGAAAACGGGGGGATGAAAAAATTACATGTACAACAAAAAGAGATGAACGGGGATGAAAATCACTGATTTACTTGGAAAAACCTCACTGAAATTAGGTCTATACATATGATGACTAAAAACTTAGTTTACATGTGTACATGTTCCTTCCTACATTACTAATAACATGAATAAAGTTAGCGCTCAAAAATGTGAAATTGGCCTCAGTGTTTTGTTTTAAAATCTCACTGTTTTTCTGTTCATGTGTCCTGTCAGATTCTACTGGACTTTGCCTACTCGGCGAAGCTGAACCTCACCGTGGATAACGTCTTTGAGGTGCTGGCTTCGGCCTGCCATCTCCACGTGGCACTGGCCTCGGAGGGCTGCATCGACTTCATTGGTCGGTGCTTTGACGAAGGCCAGCTGGCCTTTGATGACTACCTGAAGATCTCCTCCATGGCTGGCAACTACGGACTGGACCGGCTGAAGCAGACAGCAGACCACCACATTGCTGGGAACTTTGGCGAAGTGTCCCGGACTGAGGACTTTCTGGAGCACATGACCGCCCACAGTCTAGGCCAGTTTCTGATCAGAGAGGACCTGGCTGTAGCCAGTGAAGTAGAGGTGGGTACGGGTCAGTGAGCCACCAGCACGTCTCCAGACATGATCTCATTCTCCAGACCATCTGCTAGCCTTGTTCTCCATCTTGCTCTTGAACCTCAGTCATACACAGAGTGTCTTTATTTCGCTGCCATAAAGAGGGGAAAAAATTGATGTGAAGTCTCAGCAAAAGAGGGCACTATTGAAAAAAAGGGTGCTATTTGCATGTCAAAATGGCTATTGTTCCACATACCAGTACACTGTACATGCATACATGTACTGTACTACATACGGACACATGAAGCCTCTCTCGCGCATTGGCTTGCTTCGCTATGGTCTCGTAAAATGGATGTACCGACTTCTGACTTTTCAATGTTGGCAGGAATGCCTACATTGTACCTGTCAATTCACATTGTAGCACTCTTCAGTTAACTTACGAAGCAATTTACAGGACAATAACCCTTGAGTCTGTGAAAATCAACAAAGTTGAAGGTACCTGTACCAATATTCAGTGATGAAACACAATATATGTACATGTACATGTACATTTCAGAATCAAATGAAATCAAATAATATGAACGAACGTACACAGAGATGCACAGGCTAAATTGAAAATGTTTTGTGAGAGAAAGAAACGTCTTGGGACTGAGACTAGGCACCTGTCAGTTGTTGGCACCTGCCAGCTTGCTCTGCATACATGTAGTCCATGTTTTATGTTTGCAGTTGGCAGCAGATCTTACATGCATTCATCACAAGTTGAAGGATAACTTTTTGTCGTATAAAGGAGACGTGTACACAATAATGACTTATGACTTGAATTCATGTGGGAAACCTTGCTTATGGGCCTACATGTACAATGTAAATGTTAAATGAATTTGTACGTGTATTTCCTTTGTACATGTAGCAGCAATAGGAAGGGCTTTCAACATTTTGGTTTTTAATGCCAATAAAAATTTCCACAATCATTTGTCATCCAAGGCAGAAAAAAGTGTTTTCATATACATAGCCTTTGTATACAACACTTTTCTATATTTTTTTGAGTAAGTTCGATCGTTCCACCTGTTTATTGTGAGCAGCTTGTTTTTTCAAAAAGTTTGGGCAACATGTAAATGTAGGTGATTTTCAAGGAAGATCTTTTTCACTTTTTCTAAATGCTCTTTTCATAAGGAGTGCCCCCTCTGACAAAAGCAACATAGCGCCCTCTAAAAAGTATTGATAAAAAGATTTTCTAATATCGGTAAACCTGTTGCCTTTGTCATGTTCATGTCACTTGTAACGCGTACATGTGTAGTGTGTAGAAAAACAAGTTGAAATGAAATGCACTCTGCACGTTTCCCTGAAGGTCTTGAGCGCGGTGGTGAGCTGGCTCCACCACGACCTAGCCACCCGCATCCACCACTCGGCCTCCCTGCTCAAGAAGGTTCGGTTGGGCCTGGTGTCCTCCCACCACCTAGTGGACCTGATAGACACCAGTCTCTTGGCTGTCTCCCAGGTCAAGTCGCTGTTTGACCAGCTCATGCAGCACATTGCCCTGCATAGCCCCGTCAGCGGACAGCTCGCCAACCGACACCCGGAGCTGTTTACCCCCCGTGTTTCCACTAAGGTAAGCTGCTTGAAGATTGGTTTGTAGGACTATATTGAATTATATCCGCTCAGCATCTCCCCAACCCAGACATTTTCAATTCTTTTGTGTACACATGTTTCATGTATTTGTAGAACAAATAGATGGAACAAATTCAAAATTGCACACTCCCATTCCTACATGTACGTGTAAGTACAACATTTATAAATTACGCTTAATTACACTTTTAATTAGTACATTTTCTGTCATTTGCATGTAATTTAGTATCTGCAGCGCATGTGTACACACCTGCTTGCATTCCTTTTTCATGCTGAGCAAAACTAAATGTTCATTACTAATTGAGCATTTAGAGTTTTTTGCATGTTGGTTTTGTTGACACGACATTTTGGAATACGGACGCAGATATCCAAAAACCCGAACAAATTTTATGTTTTTCATAGGTTTGTGCATAAACATGGATGCATCCTGGCATCACTTTGGACAAGAGTCCGCTCGCTAGCATCTACAGTACGTTTAGCTCTATGGTGATGTGTACATGTATTTTTATGATTTATGGTTAAGCATGGGCCGTGTCTGAAGCAGGGTTTCAGACTTACTGCTGATTGGCCGTGTCTATCGTCAGCATGTCTCCATGGAATGGAGACCTTAAGACCTACAAGTACATGTAGAGTGTAGCCCTAGACGACAGATTCGGATACAGCCAAGCATATTTAATGTCTGGGCTTTTCCAAATCCTTGTTTTTGGTGTTCGCCCCCATCTTCACATTCAGTTTGAAATACATGCTCATGCATGCTCTGGGCAAATTCTTCAAACTCTAGTCTGATATTGGACAAATACACATACATGTACATTTAGGCCTCTATGTTTATGAAACAGTACATGTATGTACATGCTGTAGATGTGCTACGTTGAGCTGAAGGCTTGACTAGAAAGTCTTTCCACTTGAAAATGGTAGATACATGTATCTGGGTGTTGTTCTCGGTTACCTTGGTAGATTAGAATTTAATGGTTCGTGAATGGTTTTATTGGAATCAGTGTGAGTAATTATTGATACATGTAAATACATGTACAGGTACATGTAGTTTGGTTTCCCGTATTAACTTCTGGAGAAAGCAGGTATAGAGGTTGTTCATGGCAGCCATCTTATGGTACATGTACATGTAACTACTTTTATTAATTTAAAGAGGGATAGTACAAAAGTTCTATTCGTGTATCTCTGTGGAACAATTTTAATGTCTTCTGTCCACGACCTCTGTACATGTACATGTGACCGGCTCTAGAAAAATGGGTAATAAGTCGCCAGATTCAGGTTATGACTTTTTTATATTGCTGGATTCTGTACATCAAAAGCTAAAATTTGATGTATGAGTGACCCCTGTAGTGCACTGCATTCGGGAGATATTTAGACATTTGTACATGTATGCACATGTACATGTACACTGTATGTGTTTGTTTTCAACAGTCTCTGTTGGCCATTGGTGGTCAGACCAGCCTCGGCTTTGCGCGCTACTTTTGCAGTCACCGTCAGGAGTGGATCCCACTCAAGAAATTTGCCCAACTGCCATTTGATGGTGTCTCTCATCATTCGGTCATCGCTGTCGCTGGGAAGATTTTCCTTGTCGGTGAGTCAGTCACCCTTTAAGGGCCATGAATTGTTTGCTGAGCGTGTAACTTCACTGAGTAAGATTTCTAAGGCTACTCATCAGCAAAGTAAGGTTTCTTATCTGACATGTCTGAATTGCCTGCTGATCCACACAAAGTTGGATCTCCAGCACCAGCCAAGCAGAGAGTTTTTCAGCAATATTTTCTGCCTTTGTGTTGCTCATCAGCTGGCAAAAATGAAATTTCCCATGCAGAGCTTCATGGATTCATAAATCTCTGTTGAGATTGGTGCATGTTGGCCAATGTCACCTGCACACTTGTGTTGTACAGGTACATGTAGATTGAAGTCCTTTAAATGTCTCTGCAAACCAATTACAAATCAGGCAATTGTAGGGCAAGTCACAACAGCATTATTCCTTTGACCTTTTCCACCTACTTATGCAAGGCTGGCCTTGTGACTGGACTTGTGACGGACATGACTACAGCACTGCAGTTTACATGTACACTGTATCTAATGTGGTACCATAGAAACTGTCCAGTGGTAAGAAGTATTCCAGGGTCAAATGCCAATATTGGACTGAGCCATGGGCCTTACATCTTACAGGTACATATGCCATTAATTTTGAATGAATGGCAGTGTTAGTCCACTTTCTGGGTTGAATCCAGACAGACTGACATCTAAATTCGTGAATACATGTATGTGGCTTTTTCTGTGTGTAAACAGGAGGTGTGTCTACTGAGTACCGAAAGTCACAAACGCAGAACTTTTTCTACGCGTATGATGTGGTTGCCAATAAATGGTCTCGTCTACCATCGATGCGCGTTGAGCGAAGCCATGTGGCCCTTGCACACATGGATGGATACATTTATGCTGTTGGTGGGAAAGATGAAAAGGGACAGTGGCTGGAGACGGTTGAGCGCTACGATCTATCCAAAGGAAAGTGGCAGACTGTGGCTGCCATGGTGACGGACGTCTCTGGAATGCACCCGTCAGCTGTGGCTCATGAGAACCGAATCTTTGTTAGTGCAGCTGACCTCACAGAAGGAGTCCAGTACCTGTCGTGTTTTGATCCGGCCACCAACACCTGGAGGGCGTGCAGCCGGGTTAAGACCAGCTCCCCGGGGTGTCTGGTCCGACTGGAGGGAGGCTGCCTGCTCGTCACCTACCAGGCAGTCACCAGTAAGCTCGGGAAGAAGGAGAAATGGAACCATTGCCCCGTCGTCCACGAGGTCACGACCTACGACCATGGCCAGGGGCAGTCCCATACTATCGACCGCGTGAACACGCACGACCAGTCATTGGTCCCCGAAAGTGACCTGCGGCCATTTCGCGTCGGGTGCCGCATTTACCTTCTGGTCAACGGGGCATGCCTGGACAGCAGAACCAATGTGGAAGAGGGACAGGTGTATGACGTCGGCTTAGATGCCTGGACTAAGCTCAGTCAGAACATAGAAGGCACTGGTGTCACTGAGTATACCTTTAATGCAGAAAGTTTCTTGTAGCAGACTGCTTGCAATACTTTTAAAGTTTATAATTGTATTAGGGTAGTCATGGATTCACCTTTTCTAGGTGCCCGCCGCCTTGGGGACAGAGCTACAACTTGAAATAAGTTGTAGTGATGAAAAATGTGAAATATGAATTTTTGGGTTTTTGCCCCAATTTCCAGAGTCATCAGTATTTGTGATGTTTACATGGGGTAATTCCAGAAATTAAGGGCCCATTTTTTTCGTGTCCTCATCACATCTGACATGATTTTGTAAACACATTTTCTACAGTATGTAATTTCCAAGAGTGATGAATCAATGCAAAATACCTTCCAAACAGGTACATGTAATAGTTTGAAATTTGTTCTGATGATATTTCCATGTCAAAAAAACAAAGGTCAAATGTAACAGGGACACAAAAATGTCACACTTTTAAACCCATAATTTCTGAAATTACGAATGTCTTATGCACTAATTTCGGGGGAAACACACGTAGTATGGAAATCGGGATCACCTTGGAATTGCTGAAGCAGTAAGAAATAAAAAAGTGCTATGAAATTCCTGGAACCGGTATTTGTGCATTTCATGTTCAGAATTTCTTCTGCGACTTTGCTGGACTGGAGTGGGTAAATTCTGGGTTCACAATGTGAACAGAAACACCTACATTTACATGTTTAATTTGCACTGAACTCTTTCTTCTCTGGGTAACATCATAACAACAGCGCCCTCAGTCGTCCAGGAAAGCATGAATAATTTTCAATAAGCCCAATATGTTTTTTTAAAAAGGGGATTTTGCAATGCGTTTAACCAAATAGGGATGAAAATAGCTTTTATACATCTACATTGAAGAAGAGAATGTAGTGCAAAAAATTTGTGTCTAAGAAACCCAAAAAACGATCCACGTTTCCATATCAATACAGAGATTAGGGGGCGGAGATTGCCACTGTACGGCCAGACATAATTTCTTCGTCCTGCTTGTGACTGACTTCGTTATACATGCACACATTACAGATCGGAAGCACCCAATGAGTGAACGTTCAACATCAACATAGTTTCCATGGTTCTTTGTAACTGTCAAAACATCTGTGGTAACTTTGTGTGTAGTGGACATGTATTGTTTAAACGGAGGTGACGTCACACGAACCAGATAGAAAGCAACAAAGTATTGATAGGTTCCATGTCATTGCTTTCGTACGAGACGGTGCTCTCAATTTGGCCCACGAAATACATTGCTTGAACGATTCTTTTGCAAGATGGTTCATTTACGTGTAGCACTTAATTAAATCAATATTTTAGAAGCCTTGAAGACTGACTTGAAGATGTTTCTGTGTTCATGTAATTCACTGGCAATGAAAAAGTTTATCTGATCAATAAAGAGAATAGACAAACAGTTTAATGTGCATTTATTTATTTTGTGAGTTGCAGAGGATTTTGTCTGTTGAATGCAAGATTTTAGGGAGTTATTTATGGTAATGTTTTTATATTGTTTTCTAGTCGTCTTGTTGTTGGAGCCTATCGCACTCTCTACTCAAAAATGTTAACAAAGTTGAGGGCCCAAATGGCTTGACCCCAACTGGGCCAGCGGTCGTGCATTGAGCACGGCATTGGAAATTTTAATGTGTACATTTCAGGCTGACCTGTCTCGGAAAAATAGGCGGTGCGCGACGGTATGTTGATTTTCACAAAAATGGTGTCAAAATTACCGAAAAGGGTTACTGAAAAAACACTGCAGAGGTTAAGCTCGTGGAAAAGATTTACCGTGGTGATATCGAAAAAAAAAATGTCGAAGGTGGTGAATTCTGCCCGGCTTGTTTAAGGCTAAATACAGTGAAAAGAGGTCATAAAGCAAAAAAACAAAAACAAAACAAAACAAAACAAGAACAAAAACAAAAACAAAAAACAACAACAAAACACACGCACACAAAACAAACCCCGAAAACTAAAACTCAAGTGACGCTCGCATCATATTTTTAAATGAAAATAAGTTTTACACGAACCATCAGTACGGGACTGCTATATCAGTGCATTATGATATTTATCTTAAAAAAAGCTGACACCAAATTGAAATCCCTCACCACACTGGTATTTTTTCGAGTTCTTCGCGAGAGTGATAGATAGGATTGTCAATCATCCCTTCATTCTCACTGAGTTCCTCTGAGTCTCCATTTTGACCCTTTACGTCTAAGGACTGGATTGTTAAGTCAAGATTGGGCATGGATGAGACGGCTCTCAAACCAACGGCACTTTTATCATCTTCAGCTCGCCTGATATCTTCATAAAGATCCTCCTCCGCTGAGCTTTGATTCCTACTCCCGTTCTGGTTGACCACTTCGTAACTGACGCTGGAGCAACGGTTTATAACGCACCCTTCAGCCTCTTCTGGTATTTCTGTGTAAACTGGGCAAATGCTCACCTCGTAAGGGGACGCTAGCGTCTTCGCGTCGCTCGTTGAAGCTGCCTCGTGAGCCGAGCGGTAGTATCTTTTGGTCGTTTCACTGTCGGGCGTTGGTAGAGTTGTCACTGCATACGGGATAACGACTACATCATGCAGCTCCAAGTCGTTGGAACCTGCGTTTGTGGCAGTTCTTCCGGACGCGCCGTCATTGGGTACCCAGTTCTTTCGGGGCCACTTGTGCCTTATGATAAGTATCAGAAAAGACAGTCCGAAGAGTGCAGGAATGATTACGCCAGCTGCTATGGCCCCAGAATTATTATATCCTTTCGTCGGGTCGGGCGGCGTTGGGACTGTCTGGAGCTGCGAGTCCACAGAATTATTCATAAACACAGCCGTTTGGAGGGATCTGGGTAGTGTGGTGGGTCTGTCTTTGTGACCATGTAAAGTTATAGGCCCGTAGGAGTTCTGTGTCTCGGCGGTTGATGTCGGTCTGTCGAAAGGACCGATGGAGCATTTCCGGTTCAAACCGGGAAATGCGCTGCTGGTGACGGTACAAACAAGAACCTGATTCCACAGTCGCTGCTCGAGGTGGAACGAAGCGCCAACCCGTTGCTGCTGCTCCGTTCGGGAATGGTAACCTCTTGCTGTTATTTTCTCACCTGTTTCTTTAATCGTCCAGGATATGTTGACTCCGGGAACGTCTTGCACCGTCTCACACCAGACGGTAATATTCGTGGGTGACTCGAGCGTCTTGGAGCACGTTGGATTTTCTCGCGGGAAGCTTTCTGTCTGTTCATCTACATGTACGTGCGCATAGCCACACACGTCGTACCACCAAATCCGCCACCACCACGCACAACACTTGTAAAATCCAAGATCGAACCTTGTAATGTTCATAATTTGAATAGAGTAAGCACGGTAACTGTTGTTATACCGGAAAACTGAAATACTGAGTCTAGCATAATCTTGAAGTACAGTTGAATTTGCTGTCAACCAGCTTAACTCAGAATTGTGGCATTTGGCCCACCTCACCGGTTCCCATAGGTGATTCGAAACGTAGCAAGTCAAGTTTAGGGTGCCGCCCATGAAAACGTTGTAAAATTCGTCCGGTGTTGCTGGTCCACCTCTTGTCAGCGTCAAGGCACCAACGCCTTTTCTGACTCCAATCATGCAAACCACGCCTGCTGCCAGCAAGTATTGCAAAAGCACTAATGCCTGAGGCAGAGGCCTAATAAATCCTTGTTTTGCCATCATAGTTGGTGAGTGGGCTCGGTTGCAAGGTTCGTGGACAGTATTATACACGTTCGTTTTTGGAATTCCTCACGCAGGCTTGGTTTATTTTGTGGCTATAACGCTCGACAAAGGCGACCCTTCTCAAACCTACGCCTCATCGGCGACTTTTAAATATATAGGCTTACAGCACGATCATTTCCATAAATCGTTTCCTCGTTTGGCAGTTTGGCAAGTGCACTTGCAAATGACTCGATTTTAAGGGCGGAAATAATATGTTATAAAAATACTCCCTGCCAACTCAACGTCCAGATTCCGCTTTAATATTTTGTACTGAATCGTGTTTTTGTCTCTGCATTTCCTCCTTCCCTATACGTACGTTTGGTTCGTGCTGATATCACTGTTTGAGAATAATATATGTTTAAATGATATCACCGCGGTTGACAACACTCACTTCCTGGTTTAATCCCCTTGCATTCTTCCTTTTACCCTTTCGTTTGTAGACTTGAATCAAGCCGGGATTTCTGTGACGAATAGACCACCAGTCTTGCGCGTATAACCGTGATTTTAAAAAGCGTGGGCAAGCATTGGGCAAAACAACGAATGGCAGCGCGTCCACTATGAATTGTGCGTGACGCACTTAGATTGTGTGTATTTGTTTTCATGTGCTCTCAAAATATCTCCCCTGTTTTACTCTTTGGCACTCCTATGTCTCTCCTTTTCAAATGCTGCAACCTTAACCGCATTGTTTCGAATCAGCGTGGTCCAGATTAATTAGAAAGGGATTTTTTTTCACAATCGAACAATGGCTTCATAGAATTTTATGGCTGAAATTCTTTTACTGTGTGTAAATTCCCTATATCGAGGAGTGAATTTTCCCCACGCTTTTGGATTTAGTCGGGTACCGCCTCGAATACGGCACCCCACTGTTGTTTTGAATAGGAGCTGCCTGTGTATGGGTTTATAATCTGTGGCGCGCCGTTACTTGCTTCGCGCCCTCGTGTCCTCTTATTACTATGAGTTCAGTTCAGAAATCCACACACATTACCGTATACACACGTACACGTTGATGTTGGCACCCAAGATCGTATAGCGCCGTTAAACGTTGTAATCGCATGGGCGCCATTTGAGTAGGCTTGGAACTCTAACAACTCTTTGCTATGTACAACACGTGGTCTAGACGCCAGGTTCGCTTTCTGGGAACTGGATTACCTTAGACCTTCCCAAGCAGCTCCTGACGACTTGTCACGGCTGGATGCGCAACTCTCACAAGGCCAAACCCTGTAACTAAACAGCAATACACATAAAAATTTACATATGACGCTCACAGGCAACTGCTTTTACTTGGTTACTTTAAAACAGACCTTGGCAGGTGAGGAGGGTTTGAGTGTACGCCCCGGGTACCCGGTTGGACCGCCTATGGGCCGGGGCCCCCTCTCATACTGCTTGGGTGCCCCCCCCACAAGTTCCCTGAATGAGCTCCTCATCGGAACTTGATTTTTCGCTACTTCCCCTGTCTAAATCCTCCGGTGGGTGGAGCCTGATAAGCTTTCTATTGACTGTACGATCGTTAACCCCCCCCCTGGAGGTTGCATGCGATAGACACCCCCTCTGAGTTTACCCTAGTCACGATATGTGTTTCATTGTAGTAGGCCTTTTTTTAAAATCTTGTGTTGTCCTTCGAATGCGCAGCTCTTCAACAACACCTGAGCACATAATTTAATTGGCTTGAAGGTTCTAATCTTGGCATCATGGTTAGCCTTGTTGCGCCTTGCCATTTGTTCGGTTTTCTCTGGCACCAGTTTACCAGCTCGACCAAGTAAATCTGCCTGAGTTCTAACAAAATCCTGGTCCCAGTCACAGTCCGTTCAACCGAACATGAGTGTAAAAGGGCATACCCTTGTGATCGCATGGGGCGTGTCGGTATACATACGTACACTTGATGCGCCAACAGATCTGGCCACCAACGTCAGTCTAACTCATCTATAGATTTGATTAGACCAAAGAGGGTGCGGTTGAATCTCTCAGCCTGGGCATTCCCCTCAGGATGATATAGGGGTAGTATGTGTTTTCTTGATACCGTATAACGCGCACAGCTCTCAGGTGACCACCCCCTCGAAATTCCGCCCCTGGTTGATGTGTAACCTGTTTGGGATGCCATATTTCGTGAACCAGTGATCTCGAGGTTTTTACGCAACCGTCACACCTAGTTGGTGTCTTCATGGTACGGCTTGTGAGTATTTTGCGTAGACATCGGTTATTATCAGAACGTCCTCGAATCCATCACATCCCCAATCAACTTTGACAAAGTCAATCACCATCAGTTCAAGGGGTCAAAAGGCCATAAGGTGCCTCATACGTACCCTGGGTTTTGGCTTCGCCTCCTTGGCCAGCGCACATTTCTTGCAATGCTTGATATGCCAACGCACAGCAGCTGCTATCTGCGGCCAGTATACACATCTCTGCAATAGTGAGCATGTCTGTGCTACCGATGGCCCACTTATCATGGCTGCCTTCAAGAGCTCGATCTTGTAGGCTCCTCGGCAAAAGTATCCGAAAGATATCACCGTGCAACGGGTCAGGGACCCTCCAGTGGAGAACACCTTCGCGCAAGGCAATTCGAGGCCATTGCCATAATCATAGTTTAACCTCCCAAGAGTGTTTGAGACCTGTCTCCCTGGGGACTTGTTTGTTTTCCAAGTACTGTCAAACAACACCCGATTCGGGATCCTTGCGCTGCAGGGATGCAATTTGTTCTGTAGACCAAGAAGGAAACACCCCTGGAGGCCCTCCACCCGACGGTGGTTTCTCATCAAGTGAATCGGTCCCTACTGTGTGAGATGTTACACGTAGAGGGATAGCGCTTGTCGGTATATTTTCCTGCAGCAGCCCCTCCACCTCAGAATGTGAATGCCCAGGATAGCGGCTCAGTGCATTGGCCCACCGATTACTCTGTCCAGATCTGAACTGAATGTCAAAGCTGAACGTGGACAACTCCGCCACCCATAGCATCTCTGAGGCCCCAAGCTTCGCAGTTTGTAAGTGAGTCATTGGGTTATTGTCCGTGAGGACGGTGAACGGCACACCGAGCAGATAGTCGGGGAATTCGTCCACTATATCCCACTGTAGTGTCAGTAGCTCCAGCTTATAGGAGCTGCATGTAATCTGGGCAATTTACTTCCGTGCCTCACAAACCCCGGCTCGCATAAGCTATGGGGTGTCGGCCACCATCTTCCCCAACCTGTGATAAACACGCCACAAGCCTCTTTAGCGACCCGTCTGTTTCCAATGGTTTCTTGAAATCTGGATATGCCAGGACGGGTGCTTGCGTGAGAATCTGCTTCAGGCTTTTTGTGCCTCCGAATCCCAGGTAAATGGGTGCGCCTGCTTCGTATTCCTAGCTCTACCGTGATTGAGGGGTGGTAGAATGACATGTAGAGGTGCTGCAATTTCGCAAAACCCGGCAAGAACCGCTCATAATAGCTGGCGAGCCAGAGAAATGAACGCAACTGCTCAGCCGTCTTACGTTCAGGCCATCCCATAACTGCACCTTTTCATCATCAATAGTCACCCCTTTAGCGCTGACCACATGCCCAAGATAATGAACCCGAGTCTGGCAGAGTTGGCACTTTTTGCTCTTAATCTTTAGCTCGTAACCAGATAGCCGGGAAAGAACCCAGTCTAATCTGAACAAGTGTTCATCAAACGTTGGCGCAAAGATTAGGATATCGTCTAGGTAAACAAATACCTCAGTCAAATTCAAATCCCCCAGACATTGCCCCATCGTTCTCTGGAATGTGCTAGGTGCATTTGCTAAGCCAAATGGCATCATCAAGCCCAAAGGGGACCCTGAAGGCCGTTTTCTCCATTGAGCCTAGATCCACTTTCACCCGATGGTAGCCGTGCGCTAAATCCAAGGAAGAGAAATATTGCGCCTCCAGTGATTCCATAATCCTTGGAAATGGAAAGGAATCCCAAACCGTATGCACGTTGAGCTTTTTACAATCTACGGACATGCGCTGGCTGCTGTCTTTCTTGCGTACCAAGACGACTGGGCTAGCATACGGACTAGTGCTTGTACGCACAATTCCCTGGTCAAGATACTTCTGAATCAGTTCTCTGACGTACCTTACACCATAGCTGGGGTGGAATCCTTCTACATGGCTGAATGATGGGGATCTCACTTTTGAAGAGTATTTTGTGTGCTACCTTATCACAGTGTCCCAAATCAAACGATACCCGCGAAAAGGCCGCGTCACGTTCCTTTATGAGCATAATGACCTTATCTTTCTTATACTTGCTAAGCGCTGGCAAATCTACGTCCAGATCGGATGGCAACGTGTATTGCGACCCGTCACTGAGACGGTAATTCGGTGTTTTGCTTGCTTCAGCGATAAACCCCTCTACTGGTGCACTACCGTCAGGAGCCAAGACCTGAATCACAGAAACATGTGTCCCATCGCACTGCCCTCGATATCGAGGTCCACTGTTGGCACTACTTCCACAATGTTATCGCACGCGCCCCACCATTGGTAACCAGGACATGAACCTTTGTCCCACCGTAAGCTAGCAAGTGTCGAAAGTATGCAAGCTGTACTAAGCCCATCCTCGTCAAGGCCTTGTACAGCGACCGTTTTACCACCGAACTTGCCGACGGGTGCCCGTGTAAAGCAGGTTATCCTACAAACTTCATTAGGCTTGACATTGACGGAAAAAAATAAATAAAAAAATAAAATAAAATAAAATAGTCGGTCTCTGATCAGCGTGCGCATCGATTTTGAACATGGTTAAGACACTTAGTAGTAGCCAAAATTCAAGCACCCACTTTTAATGCGCACGTGTCACGCACGCGCTGAGGTACTGACTTGGAATTAACTCCTATGATCAAATGAGTGTTACGAAAAAATCATACGCCCTGAAATAGTTGTTCTTCCAGCTCCCGCTCAGAGCGACGAGAACGAGCGAGGGTGTGGGGGTTGCTTGCTTTTCATCACTGCCTCGACCTTGGCAGAAAAGCCACTGTGACGTAATTTATTCAATATTCAACATCCAAGATACTCTCAACAAACCGGCAATCATCTCTGCAGCACTACTTGGCTTTATTTTCAACTGAGCAACAAAGTACAATACTATGCAATGTCATATTCATGAACATAAATGTACATACCAAAAGCACTATTGACCAATTAATTTCAAATGCAGCCAATGAGGAATGCCCAATGATTGAAATTTTGGGAGCATTTTGTCGCATATTTAACAGGTTTCTATTGGTTACGAGGATGCAGTTTCGGTTACCAAGATAAGTATCTCAAAGAAAGATGCATTGAGAAATACCGAATTTTCGCTTGTAGATTTGTTTTAATATTAAAAAACTGTTCTAGCACAGCAAAAAACTCATACGTTGATGTATGTATGAACGGACATTTAACGACCTTCTATAGTTAATGAGTTATTGAATTTAACCTAATTTGTTTATTTGTATTTAAGTACATATACCCATATGCCGCATGACCGAATTTCAAAATATAGAAATTCAAATTGATTTCCCATTGAACAACCTACAGACAAAACTAATGGTAGAAGATTATAAATTCTGTATTCTTTACGCTTTTTACACGCGGTAACAAATTTCCAAAATCATTTGAATAGAAACTATAGAGGTTAAAATTCGTGAATAGGTATTTTCCATAACTTTCTCTTACTTTTTCCTCGTTATGTTGGCGTGTATTGAAATAGTTCTGTAAATGTCGACTTGAAAGGCTGTTTACTGTACATCTTATATTTTAACTCTATTTAGCATGACAAACATATCTATCAATAAATATTAAACGATATTTAAAAGAGCATTACTTGATTCTGTCGATGTTCTCCCGCAACTATGATGCGATTAATTCTATACAGACTGCTATTTTTCCACATCGAGTGATGAATATCCCAAATTGACTGAGCCCGTCGGCGTGACTGTTGTCCAGCTTGTCGAATCTTCCTTCCTTCCTGTCGACATTTCAGGAATACTGTATACTGTCGGCTTCTGTGACGCGCTCTTCGCGGAGGCCAGGTGGGCCTGGCGCCTTTGGCTGATGGCCGTGACGATGGTGTACAGGTAGGGGTTCAGTGAGGAGTTGATGGGCAGAACGAACACCACCAGCCAAGCGTAGGCCTCAGGCTTGATTTGAATAACGCTGGTCTGGGACAGGATCCCAAGAACGATGACTGGCATCCAGCAGAGACAGTCTGAACCTACAATGACTGCCATCTTGGACGCCATCTTGATCTCTTCCGCCTTGTGTGAGCGCAGCTTGACTCGTCGGACTGACCTTTTGACCTTGGCAAAGATGGCAATGTAGGAGACAGTGATCGCCACGAAACACATGAAATTAACACCAAGAAATAGTACGATTGAATAGGCCCAAGTAGGTCTACTACCAACGGGTTTTGGGATGAGGTAGGTATCATTACCCAACGATCCTCCAACATCATCCTTAGTGAAAGTGTAATCGACGGGGCGAGTGAGCAACGGCAGCCCAATGCAGACATCTGATAGCCCGTAGATATCCGAATCACCGGTTGCCAAGATGGTTGGAACCAGGCCTGCTACCAGGGACGCGAGCCAAATGGAGGCTACAGACACCCAGACAGACGTCTCCTGAAGCCTGACTCGGCTAAACGGATGCACGATGCACAGGTAGCGATCTACACTGATCAAAGTGATGAAGAAAACCGATGCTTCTGAGGAAAGGACAGAGATGACCCCTGCTGCCTTACAAAGGGCGCTGTTCCTCCACTGCGTGGCTGTCAGGTAGTACTTTTCTTTCTCGATGGCGTCGACAGTAGCAATGATCACCATGTACACTCCCATCAGGAAATCAGACATGGCCAGGTTCAGGACCAGAAACGAGTGCACGTATTTGCTGCCCTTACCACTGTCCTCTCGCATCCGCCAGACAATGACCAACATGTTTCCAAAGAGGGCACTGCAGCCTAGGATCCACATGAAAACCTGAAGCACGGGGTTTGGCATCAGCCGGCCGCAGTTGAATAGCGGTGACTGGAGCTGAATGTTGATGCACTGGTCGTCACTTGGCAGTACGGACCTGAAGTCGCAGCAGAGGCGGTGGTCGTCAACATACCTGTTCACAAAGTGAAATGCTGAATTCTTAGGATCTCATTCTTAGTCAGTGACGCAAAATGGGTAACATAAGTTGGGAATTGTTTTGGTTCATTTTCTTAATTCAATCAAGGGGCCCTCAGTGGATAATTTATGAGCAAAAATGCACGAGGAACGCTTAGATGTTGAGCAGGGATACGGTCAGTGGGGCAACAGGGGGGCGGGGTAGGCCCCCAGCTTTGTACGTCTTCAACTAGATCTGATATAGCTGGAAGCCCCTTGCGGCAAAGCCAGGGTGGGGGGAATCGCAAGTTATGTGGATGGTAAATTCAAGTCCGAGCCTTCCCCCCAGCCCGCGACAATTAAGTCCTGGGTTCACCACTGGGTTCAGTTGCACAACCATATCATACTACTTATTGCCACGCCGCTTGTCAGAGCTAAAACATGGCTATTTGGACAGTCTATTTGGAATTTTCATTGGATCAGGCACAATCGTCCGCTGGTTGGTTGCGAAGCGCCCGTGGGTGTTTTCACGCAGAGTACCTACACATGCGATGATGAACTAGAACACGGTTACCAAATAAAAACAAGATCTAAGGGCCTGTTTGTTTCAAACGGATCTCGATCAGAGATCCAATCGTTGGTTTGTGCTATCGATTTGCGCGGGTTCTGTGTCAGTGAAACAACGGCGGATTACTGATCACGATCTGGATTCGAGTGAAACAAACATGAAAGTTGACCCCTGATGGCGCGCATTCGGAACCCTTAGATAGGAAAAATAACTCGCAAAGATTTTAGAATTTGTAATTTTTTTTCGTTCAGTTACTTCTTTAAAAATCCTACTCGGAAAAGGGGCTGTGGAAAACGTCTGCGTGTGTATCAATTTGTAGAAACTGAACAATCCCCTCACCTAAAAGAGAAATATCCTGTCAAAAATTGATCCATCACTTCCGAAAATCTACAATACATGAAAAACAGTGCAATGAGGCAGTCTCGTAGGCAGATGAACATTTACAGTTTGAAATTGTATGGTAGTCCGTCGGTAAAAGCCGAAAAAAACGATCAATTTTTTTATACAGCCTTATAATTTATAAGTAATTAACTTAAAGCAATATTCTACTTCAACGAAAAAGTCTTATATTATATTTAATCTTTCCTGACAACAATTGCGTGATGTCAGCTCAACGGAATCTGTAACCCATCAACTGCAAGTAGGTACGTCTATGAAACATTGTACAACCTCGTTTTGACAAAAGCAAGTGGAGTGAAAACAAATGTGCGCGAACAAGGAGACCTAGGTACGATTTCGCCGGACGTGAAATTGTGTTTACCGACATTCGCTTTTTACGCATCTCCAGGTGACTTTTCCTAAAAATTATTTGTGGTTTGAGTAAGGAATTAATCTTCCAAGAATTATCGAACGTGATAGGACGGTCCAATGTAAAATCCCCAAAGGCAGACCGCGGACCTATAGGAACTGGTGTAATGTGCACTCGTGGTGGCGCGAACCTAGCAACGGTATGCAGCTTAGCTGAGCGATGCTGAATTGAAATATATTGTGGACAAAGGATGCCTCCCTCACTAAGAAGGTTGTCAAATTCCACCTCGCGTCAGGGAAGTAGAAATGATACGCGACTAGGTGACGTCAAAGCGGTGAGTATCCACCTCACTGCCGTGCGGTAGTTTTTCTAGTACCATCAAAAATCCCTCTGGAACCTGCCGCACAAATATCTAGTCTGTGTCGTGTAATATCTTTACGGAACCAGTCTGGAGTTGTATTCTAATAACTATTACAGTAAAGACCCAAAACGTATGTCAGCACCAGACTATTGAACATCTGCAGTCCACTATCATGACATGGAATTTTATCAGCTGAGAAACAACAGTGGCGTCTGTGAATACAAGTAACGTGAGATTTCTGTTTGAATATTTATGAAGTGTAGTAAAACAAATACAGCATGGTTTATTTCGGAAAAATAGTGGGAATTACTAGTCCCTCGGTGTAGGTCAGTTTGACTACCTCCCAACGCGAACAGTTAAGCTGACCCACACCTTGGGACCAGTAATTCTCTCTAATTCCCCTCAAACCATGCAGTATTTGTATAATACCACGCTCTAGTAGGAAGAGCGATATTTTCGCGCGCGCGTACGCTTGTGTACCACACCCATGCGACGGCTCCTCGCCTCGTAAAGTGCATGCTCGGATAAACTAGCTCACAGGTACCCGTGTGAAAGTTCACCTGTTAGCGCTGACCTCGGGCCAATTTCGCCAAATGTTAATCAAGAGTGTCTCTTAGGAAGGGTAACGCGTCTTAACTCTCAACTCGTCCTAGGTTCGTGCTGAAGCACTACCAAATGAAGGTAATTAAAACTTGAATATGTCCTTAATCCCCCAGCAGTGCTGCTGAATTTGTCTTAACATAGCCTGAGGTTCGTCTACTGAGGACGAAAAGTTGTCATCTGATTTTCTGTTGTTAGAATAGAAGAAATTGAAGCAGATTTTACATTTTGTAACATTCATGTTTCGACTTTCCTACTTTTCTGTGATATCAAAATCAGACTGAATGTTTTGTGAAAATGTATTGTTCTACTTTTCTACCTCCAGAAAAGCAGATTTTACTTCATTTCCATTTGCTAAAGTGCTTCAGACACGAATCTGGTTTGCAAATTTGGGGGCACAATACGTGAGGACCGTGAAGTTTTTTTTCCAAACAGGAGAGTGTTTGTGCAGGTATTCGTGCACTGGAAAGAATAATTTCGTGAGGTAACAGACGAAATATTCTATTCTATGGGAGAGGTCACCTCATGAAACTGTTCACACCATTGCACTCATAAATATTCCGTTGGCCGTGTCCGAAACGGGCTTCCTGAGCTACGGCTATAGGTATAGTGTCTGCTCGTCTCCAAGTATCTCCAGTGGCGTGAAGACCTCGGTCATGCTCCAGACAACGGATTCGATGCAGCCCTCATTTATTTCCTTTGCATTCAACGCCACGCCACGCTCAGATGTGCGCCATGGGATCTTCACGTCCGAAGTGATTAATACTGATGATGAAATGATGTCATTTGTGCGAGACCTATTTATTTTTCAGGGGTGTTTAGTGACCCCTGGTGGCAATACCAGTTTGGGGAAGGGAAGAAAAGGATATAGGGTGAAGATAGGTGTGCTTACACTTTCTGAAGTGAGGCGAGATCAGTTAGAGCACCGTCTTCGATCTTCCAATCTGACGAGTACTTCTGGTTTAAATCGTCGACGTCCACTGAACCATCACCCAACATAAGTATTCTGTTTGTAGATCAATGTATATGAATTGAAATACCCGTATACCACGCAAATCTTAACAGCTTTAACGCTGGGCACTTTCGACAAAAAGGGTGACCATAATACTTTCCCCCTGCCAGTTAATGACGGTTTTGTCTTAAGTCTAAGGAGCCCCATCCTCTCTTTTGCGTTTTCAGTTATACAAACAGAAAAGAGAAAATGTTAATTTTTATCTTTGGAACTTGACAAAAGGGGGATTGGAAACCTTCATGTTTAGGACTTACAATGTGTGGAGATTTTTTAGCCCTTCAAACGCTTGAGCTTTGATTAGATGAACGGGAACATGCCGCATTCCCCTGGGAAAAATTGAGAAAGAAAATGGATGAAAAAAGAGAATGATACACCAACTCGCCAAATACAGGCTTCAATGATCTTATTAGCGGTTTTGTAACTAGAATCAGAATGACCACATAAAACTGTATCCCTCCGTGCATGTTTGACGAAATAAATGGGCGGTTCGTGTTGTGGTTATTTGAGAACAAAGCACCTGACGTCATGCCAGTTCGAGCATATTCAGTGAGCCCGAGTTGGCGTTTACTCTCCCTGATATTAAGGCCAAGTTCGCATAAGCGAGTCAATGTTCTTGAAGAACCGGTATGATGTGCTACATTTTGAACATGCGCTCTCTGAATATAGCATTTTCGTTTAATGGTACAATGCACGCGTGGAAACATTAAAATGTTTTCTGCGCACCCTCACAGTTTCAGCATTATGTTGATACAAAGACCCTTGTTTCCAAGGAGCCAATCGCGCTGGCAAATTTGTCAGGGTGTAACATGTATGCCTTTACTGTGAGGGTGTGTCTCTGGTGTGAATCCTTTTTAGTTTTGTATATGTCACAGCTGAACACGCGAAGAAAAGAGCGCAAAATATACTTACAGAACTTGGAGTAGTCTCAGATCGCTGAAGATACCGCCATTGATTTGCCTAATGCTGTTTTCGGAAATATCTCTGATTGTGAAAAATATTACCCCTTTTTTATTTCGGTGGAAGTTTTAAATCAATGAATTTCTTTTCTTGTTATGCCTTAAAAATGAATTCGAATGAAACTTATTGGTTGAGACATTCACTCCCATACATTCAATTATCGTAAAACTGAAAAGAACAATATGAATGTATTGTCCTTGTTTATTACTTTTCTTTTAAATAATAAGGAATAAACTATACGATATCATTTGAGTCATCATTATATGCAGTTTTACTTACAATATAGTAAGGTTTCTGAGTCCGGCAAAAGCACGTAACTTGATTTCCGATATGTCGTTCTTCCTTAAAGATCTGGGGAAAATTAGACCAATCAGAAGTTTGTTCAAGGTAAAGCTTCTAAAGTGTTAGCACTTCAGATTCGTAAAAAAATGTAAATTTTCCCCCAACACAAATTTCCCTCGGAAGCCGACTCCATTTCGACCAATAATAGTCTTTCAAATGAAGAAAAGTGACGAAAAATGGTCTCTTCTTACAGAGTTCGAAGCATGCCAAATCTCTTAAACATGCCTTCATCGAGGGTCGTCTTGTTTCCTCCAGTGAGCTCTCTGAAGTGTTTAAAAATAGAAGTCAAAAGTCACAACTTTACTGGCGTGATTTCTAAATGTGCGATTGAAGGTTTTGTTCTTAATATACATTTTGATACCTCACAAGCAAGTTACAGAGAATTATTGAGTTTCTCCAATGGCCCATAAATGCGTAGGGCAAAATCAAGGAGGGAATTGCATATCAAAGTGCAGTGAACTTTGGCCAACAATATGAACCATCTATTGATAACTGTGACCGTCGACTATGTCACTGATTTCAGCTGGCCGCCTCATAATGCAAGATTAATTATTGTAGAATAGGAAGTATGTGAAAAATATACGCAAGATTGTCTTTAAATATTCTAAACGCTGGAAGTTTAAAAAGGCTGTAGCAACTGGAGAAAAGCCAAACAAATGGCAAGCTATTATAAAATTAGCACGTTCGATTTCCACACGAAACCACGTTGAGACTAATCGCAGATACGACACTTACAACACAGCCGTGATTGCAGTGAGTTGACTTAGAGTGGTCGAGTTCCAGCCCCGTTCGCATATGACCTCCAGCTTTGCATCGACCAGGGCACACTCACAGCCGTCCGGACAACCTCGAATTTCTGGACGAATTAAATGAGATGCGGATTAGCCATTCAACTGCCAGGTGGCTACATTAGGTTTCTTATATGGGAGAAACAAAATTATATGAGTTTGTCACCGATGTTCCAAAATTGGACATAATTTTGTATGGGCAGCCGAAGTTTGCAGATCGTTTCAGATTAGTAAGGGCTTCACATCAAAATTAATGCGCGGTTTATTTCACGTGTTAAAATGAGAACATTTTTCATTCTGTATACAGTGGAGCCAGCTAAATTTCCAACTTTTAAACACTTTATCAACTTTTTTGTTTGTATTTGTGCCAGCAATAACTCGCCAGCTACTGGTAGGAACAGTTTACACCTGTGACGTAGCAAAAGAAAGGTTTAAAGGCAAATCCAGCAACGTTTCGTTCCACTTTACCGATGGCCCCCTGTAATGATGAAAAAATATTGCGCTATGCTTTACTGAGCGACTGTCACAGAGCAGTGACCATAATTTTTATCAGCATGGGTGGTAGCCAGTGCAGTAATAAGATTCATCACCATGGTCACCACATTCGAGCGCGTCTTAATCTGGACAATTAAACCTTAATTGTTAAGCATGAAACTGGTCATGAGAGTAAATGTCAACGGGCAGTGCATGTTCGGAGCATTACGAAGGAACCTACCACACTCTTCCTCATCGTCTTGGAACTCGCAGTCGAACTTCCCGTCACAGATCGACTCCTGGAGTACACACTGCCGTTTGCCCGCACACAAGTACTGATCCGAGCTACAGCTGACGTTTACTAGAGGGAAAATACAGTGAAGAGTGACCCACATGCCCTCTTTGATGATTAACTTAATGCCAATATGTGTGAGTATTTACAACGGGAAAAAATAACATTTCAGCCACAAGGGCCAGGTGACATTCACTTTGAAAGGAGACATGGTTGGAGCCTGTTAAATATCGCGAACATTATAGTGCTGCACTGTTTTTACCCATTCCTAGACTTTGTGAAAGTAGACGGCAATAAAATCTTCATACCACATCCTTGTTCGTCTCCGCCATCAGGGCAGTCAGCAAAGCCGTTACAGAACGCATCGCGTTGGAGGCAGATCACGGTGTTGTCCAAGTCCGGTAGCACACATCTCTCCACGCATTGTGAAAAATTGCGCTTGTCTGTGGTCACCATCAGTGTCCCCCCAAAAGATGAAAATAAATATGTAAATAAATGAAAAATTACCCGCATTAAATGAACACATAAATCAGAAACCCGAAGTAAAAAAAGAAAAGATATCCTTAATTGATGACAAATGCCTCCGTTCAGTTTTGTTGTGGCTCTATGATCATTAAGAGGCCTTTCTAGTTTTTACTAAAATAGACACATCTATCTTTTGCTTTACATGACACGTTTTAGTTCTCTCAACAACTAAACTATAAGGCGCACTGTATTATATAAATACATCATGGTTTTAGGGGAAGTGCATGTAGTGTGAAGTACTGGTTCCGAGTGAGGGGTAGGTCAGCCTGTCAACCTCCCTACGCGAAGAAGAGATAGGCATTGTCTAGCTAACCTAAAGGCTGTATATTTGTTTTACCATACGTCTCACAAAATAAGTCACCGTTAAAGTGACAAAATAACAAATCTAAGGCCAACATACATGCCGAGTTCCGCGTGTCTGACAAGAACTGCTACAGACTAGTTTCGTCATGCCGCAGGCTGCATGTCAACGAGGCGGCTTCTAAAGGGAATTTTTTGGTGCTACAAGAAAAAAATACTACACGCCAGCGAGCTAGGAGACTGACCGGGATGATGTAAGCTCAGCATGTAATAATTCAACGTCCTGGGCACGAGGAAAAATCGGCCAATGACGCACTACAATAACTAACATTACCTGCCATTCAATGGTGCTAATATAATTATTATTGTAGCTATATCACTGGTAATCGGGTTCACAGCATTCTTGGTACTGTTTCAGCTTCCTCGGGAGTATACATCAGCTCGATGAATCAATTCGGACGCCTATTGTGGTAACACCATGATAACCATGATAACTCGTTCCACTTGTTGATTGGATTACAGTCCCTACCTGATTCCGTAGATTTACCCAGAAATTTCGTCTTCGGGATGTTCCCCACCTCTAAAACTGTAACTGCTTCGTCCACCTACATCTATTGAGATGAGACAATCCTCTCAATAGGTGTAGGTGGATGTGGGTCGTTTGGCTGCTATCCGAGGCGCCCTTGTGCGTCATTCCCTCGACCACGTTTAGTGTCCTCATTGTACAGCGCATTTGAAGATATGTGAACATATTATAATTCTTGCCAGACACGCAGAACTCTGCAGCTCGAAACAGATTGTGTGCCGGCCTTGAATTTGTCATTTTGTCAATTTGCTTATGAATAATTTCATGAGATGTAGTAAAACAAATACAGCATTGTATCGGAAGGCAGTCTGGATGATCTATACCTCGGGACCAACGACTCCCAAATACTTCATCTCAAACCACACTGTATCTATATACTCTCACTTAGCTAAAAGACAACCAGTTATTCATGGATGGAGAGAAGCACACAAAGGTGATGTGATTCGAAAAAAGTTCCATCTTGTTACCACCAGTTGCCGGAGCCGAGTCCCCCGGCCAACCTTGCGTGAGCTACAATTTTGGGTCATATACTCCGCACGTTGCAGAACATCTCAATCTTACATTGATTCGGAATCTTCAAATTTAACCCAAAAAAGGAACCCAACGGAGATAAAGCAGAGAGAAACTGAGGTTTGAGGAAGGCGTACCGATCGCCGTCAATGCTATGCGGAACCCTTCGGCCGATACCAACTGATCTGTGTCCATCCGGAGCCACACCTCGTCACTCTCGAAACTGATCCCAACAATCTTGGTCTGGCCGGTTAGACTTGCCGCCAGTCCCCGGCTACTGTCGTTGCCCACCCCGATGCGCAGGAAGTCGAAGTTCTGCTCAAGATGGAAGTCGAGGACGTCCAGTTTGATCTTGTCGTCCCTGCTGCCGGCTGTCCGGAAAAGCCAAAGACAGGTGGTGTCGCCCGGGTATTGCCGGAGATGGTAGAGCGGGGAGGTCAGTTCATAGGGTTGACTGCGCGGTACGTCAATCAGAGTCTCACCACAAATGTCTACAAAGATCGAGAAAATACTGGTAATTTTTTATCATCCCTTGAAACTTTTGAACTAATGACATAATCCTTCCCTTTACACTGACGACAACAACTCTTTGTTTTATACAACGCATGAAGAAGTGTTTTGTAAACTTTACGTACAAATTTGCCAATTCTGTCTGAGGTAAAAATATGGCCTGAAGATTTCATTTTCCGACTTAGTCCATGTTTCAACAGAGGTTCATAAGTGTCTTGCAATTTGCAATAATTGTTTGAAAGCCTATTTAACTCTATTAGAAGCATAACCAATACTTAGAGGTCAGAATTTCCCCATCTGACAGAGACGTGATGGTACCAACGTTTCGAGTTTGTATGTGCCCACAATTGTTTGTACTTTTGTGAAAAGCCGTCCATATGTCTAAATTATTCCCCTAGATCGTGCAAGCAAAAGTGGGACATTCTTTATGTGAAAAGCTCCGACCCCGCATACCGCTCGTGCATTTCAAGTCAACGGAGTATAATCGAGTTTTCACCGTCGATTATATTGAATAATTACTGGCATTTTGTCAAGAATCCAACAATCAGACAGTTGGGATTTATTCAGTTAATGTATACATAGTATACCATATATTAGTTTTAATAGCCCCACTTACTTTACCAAAGAAAGACCAACTATAAAAAGAGAATTTCATGTATACCACCGCAATACTGTTCGTCTGTAGCCTGCGGACAGTCGCCTTTGGCGTCACAAACTCGCTCCTCCAGAATGCAAAACAGCAAATCAGTGTGGTTGCAGGCCACTTCGCCCTCGTTGCACGACGCTGTGAGACACAGTTATTACATTAAAAAGTCTCCGTGAAAATTACTTGGGGAGAGAAATAAGATGGGCTGTCCTTCGCACCTAGATCCAGGCCGCACGTTGGTTACAATCGGTATACAGCTATGAGATAGACGTAGTTTGGGTTTTACAATTTCAAAGGGCTTCCTACTTGAATTCGGAAAATCAATTTAATTGAATACTATGAAGTCAATCTGGCTGAAAAGACACATTTCTTTCACATTTTTTGTGAACTATAATGACACTCCATTGAAAAGTTTCAATGTGATAGAGAAAAGCTCACGCAGTATTTAAAAATTGGGACATTGGTAAGTAGGGTAATGGGTTATTTGCTGAAATAAAGCTTCAATAATTTTTTGAGCTTCATCTCTACTCATCATTTTTTCAAACTCAAAATGAAATTTCTGATGTTTATTTATGATAAGTGTTATTATTCTAGTTGGGTTTTGCATGTTAATACTACAAACACTAAGAGCAAACTACCAAATAACTTTGACACACAGAGCCACCCCTTCCTTTAGCTCTTCTTGTGAAAACAGTTTGAGCAAAATGATGTCATGACTTGTCTCACACATAGCTAACTATTTACGTCATCGTTTATTGGGCTTTAACCAATTCCCACAAGATCCATCCTGCACTAAAAATAAACCTGATGTTTTTCACTCACCTGACACTACCTGTTCAACGCTTATTTCAAATCCTTTATATTCATAGATGAAATCTGTAACAAAAGAAAGCCACACGTTGGAATGATTAAGAGCAGCTCTCTGAGGATGTCGATTTCCAGTAACATTAGCCAGCCACTTTGTTTCGTTGCCCAAGAATAGCAGGTCCTGAAATTCCTCCGTCTGGAAGTCATGGAACACGACCAGCACGCCATGGTTTGGCTCAGCCCGAAAGTTCCAGTAGCACATCGTGTTAGGGGGGTAGGAGCCAGGGTAACCGATTGACTTTAGAGAGTGAGGGCCGGATGACAGGTCAATGGTGCCTTCACCGCAGGGTTCTGGATTGAAAACGGACGATTTTGATGTTACAAATCGATCACTTGTTTTAGTCTGTTGCTTTGAAAACAGTGATATCACACGCAAGACTCAGTTCCAAATCAATGTTTTTCTCCCATGATGTACATCAATTCCATTAATTTACCGAGAGCATCTATGTGCGGTATACATCTTTATTATAAACGATCTTAAACACTTCATAAAATTCGTGGTCGATATTTAATAAATTGTAAAGAGCTCAGAAGAAGCTATACCAATAGAAGCTTTCAATCAACACCGACAAAGACTGGATTGGAATTTCAAGCACAACTGTCATTTTTTTAAAAATCACACAGATACAGGACATCCTGGCCTCACAGGCAGTACGCTTTTATTCTTGAGTTTATCAACTTCCAACATTATTTCGCATTTTACTGCACACGGCAATGAAGGTCGAGAAGTACAAGTTAGGTCAAGTTTTTCCTGAAACATAAGTTTTCAACCAAAATTAGAAAATAAAGCCTTTACATGAAATGTCTGATGGATTCGATAAAGGGTCAGGCTTTCCACTAATTAAATATTTAAATCTGCTTGACTGAAGGGTTAGCTTCACAGGATTTACAAACAGAGAAACACGAGGTTTTATCTGCTTGTGCATGACTAGGGGGAGAATCGGAGTGGTTGTCAGTCAAGTGGTCCAGAATGTGTAAAGCTAAAGTTAACAATCCACCTATGCTGATGCTTGCCCGGTATTTCTGTTAAGAAAAAAAAAGAGATTATTTTCAACAAAAGCCCGAAGCCAAACACGCCGCTGGACTCTGCCCAAGGTCAACCCTGATTATCTTACCGCAGTATTTCTCGTCCGAAGAGTCATAGCATGAATGGTAATGATCACATACGTGGTATTTCTCGAGGCAGAAGCTTCCATCACTGCATCTGAATTTGTCAGCACCGCAGACACCTGGTGGCACAGTTTCAAAGCAAAATGTTGGTTGCAAAATTTTAATCGTAAACAAACATTTGACAGAAACTCGCCATCCCACTGCATTTCTGTTTTCACGAAGTGACAAAGTTACCTCGGTAGCCGGGCAAAATAGGGACAATACAATGCTATGTTACGAATAAGGATGCGAGTGTGTGGATGCACCAGAAAGACGTGGTAAAATATCATGAGCGCACATGTTGAACTGTGACAAAAGGTATATTTTCGGGAAGTGACGAAAGGTGTGTACAATGAATAGCAAATAATGAAGACATCGAAGTATTGCTGTCTTCACGTAGTAAACCAAGTTTAATTACTGGAATACTGTCTCGTAAGAATGCCATTTCTGAAAGTAAGCGTGATTGACATTTTAAAACTCTCACTTTTCATTACAGTGCTCAGACTCCTTGATCCCGCACATGTACTCGAGAATGTGATTTGAAATATGGAGCATTTTTAAACGCATTTATCTTGGAATGTGTGTTTTGGAAGAAATGCGTTTTTCACTTCTTGAGATCACCAGACGAAATTATGCACCTTATTTTTAGTCTGTGTCGACAACTAAACAGCGTGACATTCAACACAGACCCATTTTACTATAATTTCAGGTACCATTTCATCAAGATGATGAAACTGGTAATGTCAGTTGGTAACTTTGCCAATGATTTCATCATTGTACACGACTGACCAATGCACGCTCAAAATGGGATGCATGGGGCTTTTTTGAGTTAGTAGATCCTTGAATATTAGTGAAATCAAAATTGTGTTTTCTTGTTTGGATTTACAGCTCTTTGGTTTATTCCTGAGGTTCCCGTTCATTTCAGCAACTCTGTGATGGCAGATTATCCAACTCCTGAAATCGATACACTGTGTAAAACGTGTATATTAATAGCAACAAATATCTTTCATGTGGAAGAACAGTTGGGATATCTGTTATATCGCACAATCATCACACACAACGGACCAAATGCCTGCCGATACTGCCTTCAGTGAACAAAAATAATGTCAGCTTTGAGTTTTTTTATCTTTTTTTTTTGCATCTGTAAATGGACCAGTGTATATCATTTTCCTCTGTCCCTTTACGTAAGGACAGGTCTAATCATGCCCAAAATCTGCGCAACGTCTATACTCGGTATTTTATAAACTGCTTTTATTGATGTATTTTGTGGAATTTTATGTAAATTAATGTGATGTAGTTTGATGTTATTTGGGTTTTTTATAATCGTAATTGTAATTTGATATTACTCTATCTGTGTGTAAATCAAACGCTTTTAATCCTGGAATAGTTGTTTGATTCTTTAAAGAAATAAACCACCCATCTATCTAACATTTTGTGCATAAAGTAGGTGGTGTTCGTAATGCAGATATAAGCTAACCTACCACAGTCATACTCGTCATCGTATTCCGGACAGTCCACCCGACTGTTGCATACTTGGCTGGCGTTGATGCAAAGGGTGCCAGACAAGCAGGAGTATTGATCGACAGCGCAATCTGAGTGTCGAAAAACAAGAAAACACACAGTAACCACAGATCCATTAAGATGTTTAAAGAACACCTCTCCTTATATGCTGTCCTGTGGTGTAAGCCAAGGCTGGGCAAACCATCCCCTCACTTCCCCATCCCACACACCCCCGAAATTCCCCCGATACAAATTGATGCCACCGCGTACCGCCAATCAATAAGGCACAATTTGTGTCCGTCCCCTCCAAAAGAACAAGTTTGCCTGCTTCCAAGAAAATTTGCTTCTGGATCTGCCTTTGAAAGCGGGAGATGAAAAGCTGTCTCTCTGAAAGAAAGCGATCAGATTTTCATATAAGTTCATTTGCGCCGAAGTGGACGAACTGCCAACTAGAAATTTTAAAATGGCTGGGCAGATTCCGCTTCGAAGAACTCAATTGTAACATGCTTATTTTTTATGTTTTTTTTTTGTTTTTTTGTTTTTTTTAAACTTGGCATGCATATAAGGCAGTGACGTAACTACCGGGGGGCACGTGCCTACCAAGCAAATGCCCGTGCCCCCAGGGTCCCCCATTAATTTTGAAATCCATAAACAACCTCTGTTGCAGCTCATTGTCTTTTGGTGCCCTATTGAGAGAAAAAAAGTTTTCACCCCTGGGTGCCCCCGGATATGATAGCCCTAGTTATGCGCCACTGATATAAAGACAATCGTTATCATTATAGATGTGTTTCAACTCAATCAAACGTATGTTTTTGTTTTGTTTTTGTTACGGTCGTTTGAAGTTTAAGGCTGCGCACGTGCTGTGAGCATTGAGCACGGCAGAGGAAAGAGTATACATTTTTGGCTGACCCGTCTCGGGAAAATGCGCACTGAGCGAAAAAGGCATAATTGATTTTCACAAACATTGGTTTCAAAATGACCGCAAAGAGGTCATTTTGAGAGCTGCTATATCTGAGAGCTGCTAAAGAGGCTTGGCTTCTGAAAAAAATGCAATACAGTGGCGACTGGAAGCAATGTTAAGGGGCCCCAGCTCTTTTAGGGTTAACGTTTACATTTAAATCTACCTGCAAGAAGGGATAGCCGATACCGACAACTATACTCACAGGTTTGGTTTCTGTTTACCTTTTTCGGAGTACTCTGTGATGTTAAGTGTCATATAGTGACGCCCTGGAGTGGCACGACCATGTTTGAGTTTAGCGAACAAAATCCAAATCCGGGGACCTTCAAAGCTGACGGTCCCTTGGTACTGCACATTGACGAAGGAACGGACAAAGGTATTCAAGGATGGTCTATTCCCGTTGCCGAAGTAAAGTCCAGCAAACATATTGGGATTCCAGTCTATGTAAAATTCATAAATGGGCAAGTTGAGGACCTCCACCCTGATCCTGGAGTGGTTACTTGACGCAGATACCAGCCACAGGCCGTCCTCTGTGGTATCAGACGAGTGAGTGACGCTGACTGTTTCGCCTGGGCTGAGGTCGATGTAAGGACTGTCATACCGACCTGGACGGCGACAGCAAACATAGGAACGTGGATTATTGCTGGCAGACATCAACGATGAATTGTTATTTTGCCCTGGTATGAATAGGATTTTTAAAAATCTGTTTTGGACCTACCGCAGTCGAACTCGTCCCATGAATATGGGCAGTTTCTAAACCCATCGCAGACACGGTCCACATTCACGCAGCTTCCATCCTCTGGGCACATGAAGGAACAGTTAATTCCTGCTCATTAAAAAAAAAAGTTGACACTAATATCTATATGTGTTGGCGTGGGGGTGACGCATTTTCATTTATGCATTCCCACTTAGCCTAACGTTTGATTAAAAGGGTGACCCAAATTCAAATGCAGACCAATGTCATCAGGTTACCACATCCGTATTCATCCTCCTTCATCGAGCAATCAGCTTCGCCGTCACATCGTCGGGTCACCGCCACGCACTCCTGGTTCTGACACTGAAATTCGTCTGGTCCACATTCTAATAAGAGAAAAGGAGAAACCTAAAGGGTATGATCGATATTGTTCCTTTTTACAGACTTGGAATTTTATAATTGCATCTCAAGGGGAAACGGACACAAAAGGTATTGACAAATTTTACTTCGCATCAAAGTTTGAAAGGCTCTGATCTGTCAGTTATGTACATGTATGCACCTTGTCTTGTAAACGCAGTTATTTTGATCTCACACACAGCTGTTCTATAATATTCAATCGGTGATATGTCCCCCACCATCCAAAGACTCGTTATGTTTGTGTAAAGGATCTGGAGTAAGCCAGGTGGTACTTCGAACAATTTCTCCGCTGCCTCGTTGACGCCCTTCTCGCTTGCTACTCCTAGTGAAATGGCGGGCCCAACACCGTTGCTGGAAATGACGTTGATCTCAATGATGCTGTCATTTGGGGCCTGGATATACCAGAAACAGTCAGTATGGGGTGGATTTAACCGGCCAGCCGGCTTGGGTGTCCACGATGATGCGTAAACTAACACCTGAGGGACGCCTGGTGTCAGCAGTGGGATAGAGGTGTTTCCACACATCTCTGTTCAGGTGAATAATAAAATCATCTTTAAAACGACTGTTTTGTAAATCAACGTGACGCAATACACACTGGCAATGAGGCAAAATGAACATCACACAACATGAAAAATTTAAACATTAAAGATTTCTTGACCAGAAGAATATGGACAGGCGGATAGAATGCTTGGTGAAATAAAAGTATCAATAGGCCTAAAGATGCACAACTGTGCAAGATGCAAAACCCATCTGCATACTTTCTCATTAAAACTGAACTAGCACAGCACCCGTGAATTTGTTACTGCATTCGGTTGGGGACCCTGAACAATAGAGGACAATGCAGCCCCCGATTGACAACTGTGAACAAAACATATGGGTGGTCTTCTAAAAAAGTATAAACAAAAGAGGAACAACGGGGGGTCCCCAGTTGCAGGCAAGTACACACTTGTGTTTGCGTTTGTTGCCGGCACGTGGCGTACCTTGCCAAGCAACAGCATTTTCGACGAGTCTTTCAGCAATGGGGGAAACCAGCTTTAAAAACTTTGTTTGGATTTGAACTGCACTCACTACAGTCTATCTGGTCGGAGAAGTCGCCGCAGTCTACGAAGGAATCGCAGTAGGCCGAGGCCGGCAGACAAACCGAGGAGTACAAGCAAAGGACTGTATTGCCGTCGCAAATACCTGAACAATAAATACAAGATTAAAGGTTTCTGGATGATACACAACCATAGTCATTTCGTTAATCGAAGGTGGATGGTGTTATGTAATAAAGCTGAGGAAAGGTATTTCAAAAGTTGCTTCCGCGTTGGCAGATCCCCCAAAAGAGCCGAAAACGTCCCGGAGCTCACTTTACCTCCGACTCTCTTCAATAGGGATAAATGACTTAGAGAATAGAAAGGATACCAACTATACTACATTCAAATTTTGAAACTAAGTTATGCAGGTTGGGAAAGGATTCTAAAGTGTACCTTATAAATGAGGTTGAGATGTTAGGCTTTTATTTTGATATCAACCTCCTCCTTTAAAGACCAACTCCAACTGTTTTAAAAGTTTTGAAAATAAACTCTTATTACTTTTAGTGTTTAAAAAATCATATATTCATTACCAAATCATGTGTGTATTGCGTCTGTATTTTTTGGAATTTTGCCGAAACTTTTGAACGTTGTCTTTAAGTTTTTTGAAATATTTCCACAATCTGACCGCTGGTGGCGCTGTTGAAAAACGAAATTTGTATGATGTAGTACCGGAGAAAACATTGAAACTTGGTATCCGTGGCAAGATGTAAATGAAAATAGAGCTATATGTGCGTGCACCACGTGTCAAGGATCAATCCGTGTGCAGGCTCTACTGTGCCGCATTATCTCTTTTTGGTCGAGAGTTTGTGCTCCTTTCTTCATGACTTACAATAATGCCCAAATCGTGCGTCTTGGTGGACGTACTGGAAATTCTGCGAAAGAGCTGGGATTTACATTCTTTGAGTGTCCGAAGAATGAGTGCATTCTTCGAGTTCGTGCTGTCGTCCGCAGCTATGCGTGCTATGGATGCATACATAGCACGCGCACTGTGGTATTTCCTTTCCACGGTAATGCATCACAGAAATCAATATTCATTAGATGCTAATGAGTCGTGACCATACGTCCATTTTTACAACTGCAGACTGGACTCCCAGGAAGAATGGGAACAAAAATTGTGTTTTATTAACACAAAAACGTGTGTTGCAAGGGAGATATCGATATGTGCCAGTTTTATTAGACTTGATTCTTCTGAATGGGGTTCAATATGAGAAAAATCAACATCGTTGGAGTTGGTCTCTAATGAGCATTTAAATGTACATGATGTAGTTTATATCAGTTTGGACAAATCAAATGGCTTGCACAGCCCTTTGAGCAGAAAAAACGTTTCTTCGATAAACTACCAACGACAAGGCCCGCACATACCTGGTTTTTCACGCTGAGTAAAAATCATCTCGAATTTCACACACGAGGGAGGCCCACGTGCGTGTGCCGTGACCTCAACCCACGCCAGGCTGCTGTTGACAAAGTAGACCCTACCGTCATCTAGGTGTGGAACCTGAGTCAGATCGATCCTAGCGACTGTGGTGTTGTAAGCGGATGGGTCATGACCTATCCCGATGGACACCTCGTTCTCTCTGTCGAGGTCGAACCCCACGAAAGATGGCTTCGGGTTCTCCTTAAGAATACGGACAAAGATAGAGGAGCCAGGCTCACTGGTAACCAGCCAGGTGCAGGCCAAGCTGAGGAGGCACGCACTGCTCTCGCTGGTAAGTGACGGGGCTAGTACAGTGACACCTGGTGATAAGGTGTTGAGATGAACACTGGCTTCATCGCAAACCGGGGGATCTTTGAAAGGAATTTAAAAAGCAAATTTTCTTGGGTGAGAATTTCTTTTCCAGAAGACTTTGTGAAGAAGACAATGAAAGTACTTTCAACCAGAGCTTTTTCATTATCCCTCGCTTCATTGTAAAAACAAGTTGATATTTTAAAGTCTGTAAACGCCTTCTTGGTAACACTTCATGAACGTGTTGTGGTGTTAATAACTGAAAGTTAAACACGTTGCGGCTTTTCAAACATATACTTGATGACAAGTAAACAAATTTAGACACAATGATGCATTTGGGTGTTAATAAAAATGCTATCGAATGGTAACACTTTCTGAACAGTGAAACCCTTTTATATCCAAAATGGTGTTTAGTTTTAACGGTAACATGTTCACAATTAACTCAAAGATGCGTTTATAATATGCGTTGGCTTTTACAACGTTTGGGATGTTCTGTTGATTGACAGCGGACTTCGTGCCAAAAGGGGAAATGTTCCATGTACTCAGTTCAACTTTCCCCAAATACTCAGTGGACATTTGTCATACTAGGAGTAAGAAGGAATCCTTGTAGCATCCTTCAAGCGTGTCAGAGCAAATGATCTTCAAGTGAAACACTACCGACGACAAGCGGCCTATTCAGTTTTGGTGTGTGTGGTGTGTGTACAGGCGTGGCATACACAATGTGGACCTCTGCACAAAAGAAGTCCACATAATGTTGGGTGCGATGGCGTAGTGTGTGTGTGGGAGTTTGCATACACATTCAAATCGTGGACCTATAACAATAGGGGACAATAAGGTCCACGGTTGCCGAAGAGTCCACGGTTGGAAAACGTGTACAAAACATATGGGAGGTCTTCCGAAAAAGTATGAACAACAGAGGAACAGTCCACGATTGAAGGCGTTTACACATTTGTGCATGTGTACATGTGGGGGGGGGGTGAATTCAGAAGCGAATGCGGCTTCGGGCTTATTCAACACGATGTTGTGGAGAAAAAAAAATTAACAGCCTTACTCACATCTTCGACATCCTCGGTTTTCTTTGGGTTCTGGTGCTAAGATTTGAAATATAAATATACCGATTAGGCCTACTTCCTTTCCTACTCACCTAGGAAGTTTTCTTCGTAAAATAAAAAGAAAATACGTCAGGGGGCGGTGCAAGGTCCCCCCACTGGATACTCCATTGCCAATGGTTATAGCTCGCTTGGCGGTAAATTAGGCTTGTCCCTCCGTGACATCGCGACTCACCTGAGTTTCCGTACTTCTGTGGGTTGACGGTCCACACGGATGCCTGAAAAACAACAAACACACTCAAGACAATCCCGGTCATTGTGTGTTTGTCTCGCACCATCTGAAAAAAAGTGGAGAGCAGACTTCTTGAGTCTAGTTATCGACAATTCAAACTAATCCCAGCTAGGGTAGCTAGAGGAATTTAGGGTTACATGGTAAACAAAATCGTGTAGTAGAACGTTTCTGCAAAAAAAAAAAAATGCGAGCGCATATCCCGTATTCGTATCTTTTTCCTCAATGATGCCATCGTTTTAAGTTGTCTTGTTATACACAATGCTTAGAAGCCTCACGTATGGAAGCAACTTGGTAAGGATCCAATTCGTATGACGTTTCGGGTTTGCATACCACATTAGTGCCAAATTGTATTCCTAAAACTACGATGTATCGTTTTTTCGGGTCGCAATGCCTTTGAGTTACGGACGTGCGAGTCATGCCAAAACTACATTTTTGCCACCTAAAGGTGCCTCTCCACATGCGCGTGAGCACTTGCGCCAAGTGTTGCGTACTCGTCAAAATCACTCCCGGGGCGATTTTCCCAGCCAAACGCAACGCACACGTGAGTTATGTTAATCAAATCGATTTCAGTGTCCGTAAAAGTGCAAGACATAAACACATCATATACGCAACGCACCCCAAAAACATACATAAAATTATGGCAGGCCCTCTTATACATATTCGTGTACGTGTTTTGTCATGCAGATATGCGTACGGACACGAACAAAATCAACTTCGATGCCGGACTGTCGAGTATCGTCGCATGTAGACTCCTATAAACGCATGGTTTCGCTTATCCCTGCCAGACAATTGCCAAAGTTTAAAATTGTTCAACTTTGCCGACTTTCTACGTGCTCATTTGCTTGCGTTAGTATCCGATTTCGAGAAAATGTTTCCTTGTGATCACGTTTCGTGATGCTCTCTGCGTCTCTTTCCGTGGATATGGAAGGATTATTGGCTTTGATACTCTTACGCTCGTTGCGCACGTTTGAACTCCATGGAAGTGATCGCCTTGTTATCCAATGAGAGAATGTTGGTGGCTTTGTTACAGTGTGTGTATGTGTGCAGGCGTGCCATACATAGTGTGGACCCCTGCACAAACGAAGTCCTCACAACGTAGGGTGCGATGGCGTAGTGTGGACTCACACACGTCCTCACAATGTTCCCCCTCTCTGAAAAACAGTTTCAGAGGCATTTTGGGGTCAAGGTTATCTGTGACAAAATGAAGATGTACGGTTCAGGAAATCACCATCAAAAGTCCTACTCGAAGGAGTTATCCTAGTTAGAGAAAAAGGAGCATTTTCCTCAAGTTTCCTTAAGCACAGGAGAACAAAGGAAAGTCCACACTTTGTATGTAAAACAGGTATGGGTGTGCGTGAGTTTGTTTCTCTGCATTCAATTGGTTACCCTGAACAATAGAGGACAATAAGGTCCCCGATTGACAGAGGGTCCCCGATTGACAACTGTGTACAAAACATATAGGTGGTCTTCTAAAAAAGTTAAAGTACAAACAAAAGAGGAACAAAAGGGGGTCCCCAGTTGCACGCAAATACACACTGCAATAATGTGTGTGAGTGTATGCGTCTATACATTGCAGTAATGAAGTTGTAGTTAGCACTGCACTCCCTACAGTCAACTGCTGCCGCTGGCTAGCCCGTCTCAGGGCAGAAAGGGAGCCAAAAGCGCAAGTCTCCCCTGCCACGACATAGCCTCTCCAAGACAAAAGGAGCATGGATCCGCTTACACGTTTTTTTCTCAGTGGTCGTCCGTAAAATGAAGCTCGACAGGCAGGCGCTGGATTGCCATCAAGTCTTGCTATCTCACCCCTCTTGACTCCTTGCCGCATAGTGGCAATGAACGTATCGTGGTGCTTCCAACAGAAGGTCAAATTCAAAACCACCTGGATGCACACCTTGACAGCGCCTATGTCACTAATAGCGCATATGCGCCAACCATGACCTATACAGACGAAATGAAGGAACAGTTCTATGAATAACCCGATCACCTCATCCAAGCTACACCGTATCCCAAATTTGTGGTCCTTGGCGACTTCAATGCCCGAATCGGCGAAAGTCACCTAGGACAGACTCCTTGGCCTGCATGGCGTTGGCAATGACAACTAATGACAACTAACCATCACCAACACGTCCTTCCCAACACGTTCTTCCAACAGAAGGGCAATTTCAAAACCAATCGGATGCACCCGCAATCGGGCCACTGGCATCAGATTGACTTGATAATCCTTCGGCAGCGAGATGCCAAGGAAATATACATAACTCGCACTATAAGGGAACGACGTATCTCTCTTATCACAACCTGCTAAGATCTCCAGTTGCACCCTCCTTCAAGCCCCCAAGTCGGAGAATTAGAAAGATTCCGGTAAGGAAGCTCGGCATTACCAAACTGTCTGCTTCCGAGGTCAGAGACTGTTTACGTTAGAAAATTACAACCGATCTCCTCGACTTCTCCGTCAACCAGACAGAGACTGTTGACAAGGTGAGATCCTCGGAGTGGGTTAGATTCTTGGACATGTGACCACCAACTGTCGTACGAGGCACGTTGCTGACAACATCCTCCCTGAGAGCCAGTGTGGGTTTCGTATTTTGCACGGCAACACGGCACGATGTTTCCCCCAGGCAAGTTCAAGACAAGTACAGGGAACAAAACATGGACCTTTTCGCTGTGTTTGTAGATCTCACCAAAGCCTTTAATTCTATCGGGAGGGAAGGGCTATGGAAGATCCTTGCCAACGTTGGCTGCAAGACAAGATCTATCTGCTCGTTTCATGACGGTATGGCCGGTCGGGTAGTGGAAGACGGCGCCATGTCCGAACAGTTCCCAGTCATTAATGGCACTAAACAGGGCTTGCTGCGTTCTGGCCCCTCTGCTTTTTAGCATTGTGTTCTCCGCCACGCTCCATGACGCTTTCAAGGACTGTAACAGAGGAGTGCAGATCAGGTTTTGTGCGGATGACAGTGTGTTCAGCCTCCTGATGTTGAAGGCCAAGACCAAGATGTTGTGGATAATGTTGCAGGATCTAGTCTTTGCAGATGATTGCTCACATCCTTGAAGACGCGTAATTCATCGTGGATCAGTTTGCCACGCCTTTCGTTCGATACGGGTTAACTAACAAGAAGACGGAATTGCTTTATCAGCCACGGCCGGGCACATTGCCTGCAACTGTGTCATCACCATATGCAACAAACAACTCAAAGCTGTAGATAAATTCTGCTATTTTGGTGGGATTGTCTGGCAGAATGCCAAGGTTGACGATGAGATCACGGCTCGCATCAGGAAAGCTAGTGCTTCCTACGGAGAACTTGAACACCACCTCTAGTCCAAGTGCGGTATCAGACTCAGCACCAAAATCAAAGTCTCTATCGCACTGTTGCCCTAGTCACGCTGCTTTACGGCTGCGAGTTGTGGACAACGAATCGATCCCACCTGCGGAAGATCGAACAATTTTACGTGCGCTACCTACAAAAACTGTGTTGTCACCTGGCAAGACAGGTTTCAAACACCGAGATCGAATTTCAAACACCGAGATCCTCAGGGGTTGCAACAACACCAGTGTCGAGTTTTTCATCAAACGCGCGCCGGGCCAGCCATGTCGTGCGCAGGGGAGATGAACGCATTCCCAAGGCGCTCTTCTTCGGTGAGCTATGCGAGGGACCACGATCCCAAGGTGGACAGCACAAACAATATACCCTGAAGTCAACCCTCATGTCGTTCTGATTTAATTCGGAAAAGTGGGAGTCAGAGTCCAAGAACCGGTCTTATTGGCGTAAGATCTGCCATGAAGGCCTCACACACTTCGAGAACAACAGGACAGCCCACCTGTAGGCGCGACGTGAAGCGCGACATGCTGTTGCCTATCGTCGGCCCCCTTCATCACCAGGGTCGCAAAATCAACATGTCTGCCCGGACTCTGCCAAGATCTACGCTTTGGGCATAGGACTGGTTAGTTATCGTAGACACAAACCCCCACCTACGTAGCAGCATTAGGGAGAGAAGAGATTAGTTGATGAGGACGACTAAGCAGTCCAAAACCCGATGAGAGCTCGTGAAACACGTCGTGTATTCTGAAAAGTAGCCCATCCTCACACACCATAAGTGCGATATGGCCATATTTATGCAAATGTCACATTTACTCCAAATTCAGTTTGAAATGATGAAAATTAAATATATAACATTTATAAAATGAAAATGAAGTAGGAAATAACTGAAACTATCAGATGCTTTAAGTTTGGGCTCCGAAGCGAGAGTTTAGATTAGTTAGTTAGTTTCTTAACACACCTGCATACTTAATTCTTCTGTTTCCCGAGCTTGTTGGAGGCATTAAGATGCTGACTCAAATTCCTTAATCTTTTGAAATGAAGTGAGACGTCAATATAAAATTTAGATGAGATTTTTCGACCATTTTATATCATATATAAGGGTACAGCGGCATTATTTGTTAATTTATTGCAGGTTTTCTTTACCATTGTCGAAGCAGCAGTGTATTCAGCTGTTGGCTTTGGGGCGGGATTCAAAAAATAATGCGGCTTTGGGGCTCATTCAACATGATGTTGGGGAGAAAAAATGTACTAAAAGCTTGCCAGTCCCAGCATCCTGGCTTTTATTTGCTGGTGTTGTTTTCTTGGGGTTTGGGTTCTAACACTGTTAAAGAAAATATTATTATTTTTCTTTGTTGAAAAAAAAATTGGTCAGGGGGCAAGTTGCCTCCCATACCCCTCCCCTTTATGTATACGCTACTGTGGCTAAGGGTAGAAAAAACTCCCATACTCGCTGGGCCAATACACAACTGTAGCAGCCTTGTTAAAATCAGTATTTGTCTTCCACAAAAACCCTAACCGGGCATCCTACACATTTAAAATCCTTACATCATTTCATTCAACCTTCACCCCAACCCTCATTGTATGTAAAACGAGACAACGGGGTCCATTGAGGTGTAAAAAGAATTGTTGTTGGAAATAGATCTGACCATAACCGACAGAAACGAATACTAATTCTCTCTGGCCTGGGGCAGTAACACTTAAAATAGCACACACCATTGCATTTCACAAATAATATATGGAGAAAGCTACCGGATTTCAGTGTGACAGTGACGATAAAACAAAATCAACGTATATGCTGCTTGGCACATTTACAAAATTATGAATACACTACATTATTATGAAGGAAGTCCCTTGCATATGGGCCTCACCAAAGGGGTAATGGGCTCTGGTGGGCTGCTGGAAAACCAACAACCACAAAGCATTTAAAAAGAAATGGGGAAACAAAAATAATATAGAAAGGGATGAAAGTCATTCATTTGCTCTATGAAACTGACCTTGTTTCACTGCGCGTGCTAATGGTAATAGTGCTGCCCGTGGAAATTCCCCCTTGGGAAAAAAAAGAACATGGTCTTCACTCCTGGTAGCGCCTATATCCTTGCTGGTTTGATAAAATTTTAATCCACCAAGTGCCCACGTTATCATTTCATAATGGAGCCAAATATGCGTGTATCTCTCAACAACCGGCTATCGGTTGATGAGGAGACGAGACTCAACGCCGGCAATTATTGCCGTAGGCTCATCGCACAACTGCTGCCACTGCATAATGAATGATGATCAAACAACACATGCTACAAGGTAACCATTCTTTTCTACTGAAAGCAAATTAACATTTGGTAGGACAACTGGCGAAGTATATCCAGGGAGCTTGCATGTATTTTCTCTTCTGTAATTCTGTGTGATGGATATTCACAGAATATTGCGGGTCTGCCTGTCAGACAGAATAGCGTATATGAAAGGTCGAATTTGTTGAAAATGTTATCTACATTCATTGATTAGCTGTCCTGGTAGATCATGGAGGAAAGACACAGAAGTAGTTTGAACTGCCTGGGATATAACATCCAGCCAATTACCGCTTTCTGGCGTGCCTGGTACATATATGTTAATAGCCAGAGCGCAGTTAAGGCTTGCTACGCACCACCTGTTTCACGACCATAAGCCCCCTTTGTATCCCATGATCATCGCCGCAATTTTTCGCTAGGAATCTGCATTCTGCGGTATAGGAAGTTGAATATTCATGCCGTTGTTGGTGCCTGTTGATTTTTATCAACAAAAATGAATTTGATGCTTTAATTAGGCTTTGTACCCAAAGCGTTCATTTGCCGTTATTGCCCTTATCGAACGCTTTCTTCTGGACTTCTTTTGGTAATAAACAGCCAAGATGTTTATAAGATATTGTGTTTTAATTTGAACATTTTTATTACGATATTTAAATAAAAAATGTATTTTGTAGGATCACATGAACACTCCCTGTGATGAAACAGTGCACTTCGTTTTTCGTGAACCTAACTCTCCTGTGGTGGTCAACATGTTGTTGGCCAGTCTTAGCCAAATGCGTACAGAGACTTTGAACTCTGATGTTTTAAAGTGACAAGTTGAAATTAGAAACGTTGGATGGATAATGGAAAAGTGCATCAAAATCTTAAAAAAAAATACTGACGACGGCAAAAGTAAATCTATTGTGAGATATTAATTCTTTCCATTTCCTGGTTTCTGCGATAAGTTTTATTTAATTTGCGAAGAAAGCACTGCAAATATTCCTACGATGTTACTGGCCCCACTTATCTGGCTAAGCTGCAGGCAGTAATCAGGGATTTGGGGAATTTCACTATTGCTCCTTTGAGAGAGCGGCGATGATCATCGAGCAATTTGATGTGCCAGAGTTGTAACTCCTCCCGTGTCATTCCTCCATGCACAGACCAAGTGTTAAGCCAACCAACGTTACGAAACACATACTATGTCTTCTCGTGTCCTGTCAAACCCCGTGTAGCAATTCACTTTTGTAATACATTGACAAAAAATGCCAAAGTTACAATTTAATAAGGGGGGGTTGACACTGCAACTAGGCGGAATTGAGTTATGTCAGCTGAAGTTTCGTGTAAATTTAAATAATCCCCCTCCCCAGAAAATGGATTAATATCAATCTATGCTGGTAAATATAACACCTAGAACCGTAACTGCGGTTTGGAGGAGATAAAGCCGGTGTGGTCAATAATGTCGCACACCGCTTAACTTGCATCAGTGGATAGCAAGCTCGCCGCGCCGAGATGCCGCGCCGTTGGACCTCATTTCCATCTCGCCTGCAGGATTTCGCCCAGCCCAATAAACGAGCCTACCGGGATACGCAGGAAAAGAAGCAGGAACAGCAGCAGTGTAGTGACACTAACGAGTAATAGAGGTTGTTACGAGGACGCAAGTCATCAGAAGCATTTCGATTAGATACACTGGCTGTCTGAGACGACGTGGTCAACCCGCTGTGCCCCATGACGGGAGATCTTCCCCCTGCCCGCCTAAATGGATCGCAAAGCCAGCATTCCACTCCATAGGAGTGGGTGATTTGGTCGCTCTACCACTACCGTTAGTAGGCAGGGTGAGAAAAGGTGGTGCATTCTGGGGAAGTGCATGACTACCTAGGCGATCTACCTTTATTTGCTCGACTCGTTGGATGCTGATACCTTTCTCCTGGCCTTTAACCGCTTGAAGGTCCTTTGTGATAACGGAACCAATTTTAGGGGAAGGCGCAACCAAAATGGCGAAGGCGTTCAGTGAGATGGCACCTGAACTGCGCAAGAGGTTTGCAAAAAAACTAGGTCCTTTTCCAGCTCAGTGGGCCCCCTCTGCACCCCACTTTGGCGGGACTTGGAAGAGGGGGATCCGGTCGGCGGCATCATCCCAGCTGGTGTCTCCCCTGCAGCCAGAAACACAAGGGAAGCCGATGTACTGAAGCCAGTTGGCGAGTTGGGTAGCTACATGACCTAATTACACCTGTTGGAGCTTGTATCATTTGCTGGTAGCTTTGCACTGTAAAAACTAAAACCCATTATAAACACGTCTTTACATTAATTGTAAACGTAGCAGTTTAAAAGTAACACTTTCTTTATAAATAAATGTGTTTCTGTGTTCAGAAAGTGATTTTACCCAATAAATGTGTTTTGTGTTTCGTTATTAACACCAAAGACGTGTCGTGTGTAAATTTATTGACAGATCAACACGTATTTGCTTTTTTAAATGAACACCCCAACGTGTTGAGCTTTAAATCATAAACACCTCAACACGTTCAAAAAGTGTCACCAGGAAGGTGACACTTTATGATCACTTATGTTTACATTGTATGGTGACTTCTGGATCACGGAAGAAAACATGGTTATCAACTTCCATCTACCATCAAGTCGAGGAATGAAAAGGCTATCGTTTTCCCGTCACAGCTAAATCCTTTATCGGGTCACAAAATCGTACACCCATGCGTTGGCACTTAATCTAATTCAGAAGAGAAAGTCAAATAACATTGAGTTATGGAATTATTATGCCTGATTTCTTACACCTATCCTTTCTCTGTAAATGTTGCGTAACAACAAAAATGACGTCCAAATAACCGCTAATTCGAACCCTCTTATTACCCTATGCGGCAGGAAAGCAAAGAATCCAGGCAAAGACAACATTTATTTAGTTCATGTTCAGCCAGAGCCGTTTATTGTCGGAAAATTCCTGCATCCATAATTGTTTTTCGATCGTAGCGACTCCGCGAAAAGTTACTTGCTTTTTTTGCAGCCGATAATTAAAATCACATATCTTCGAACTCATTATTTTGGTTTAGACTACCGTTCCGGTCGCTGCGACCCGCGAAAGGTTTTAGACAGAATATTCACGGTTTCCAGTCGCTGCGATCCGCGAAACCTTCCCACACAGCTACAATTTCGCAATTCATTTCCGGTCGCTGCGATCTGTGAAATGAACAGCGTTCGACAACAACTCAAGATTCATAATTATTTCCGGTCGTGGCGATCCGCGAAACATAAATGTGGCGCTTCCATTCTTAACTCGCCTTCCGGTCGCTGCGATCCGCAAAGGCTAAACTCAACGAGTGTGTTTCCAAATCATGCTTCACAAAATCTTTGCGATCCGCAAAACATGGTAGGCTACGGCTCTATTTTATATATGTGTAACTTGGCTTCCGGTTGCTGCTAGCTGCAAAGGCTTACGTCAACGATTTATTGCAAATCAGACGTCAAAGCAGGGCTTAGTCTGTTCCCAGTCGATGCGATCTGCGATACATCAGAACAAAGCTGATTATATGTTATTTTGTTATGACGTCCTCAAACTACCTATTAAACAAGCCTTTCATGTAAAGGATTGAATCCTGACATGAATTTCTTTCTTTATAAATGAATCATTTGTCGGGATAGCTATTGCCAAGAGCCAAAAAACTGCAACACTGAGAACCGCTTTGAAAATTAGTTCAGAAAAAGATTTGTCTTAACTGTCGGCCTACACTGCTCGGACAAAAGTGGTCAACCGTGCTCTGCCTGTATCAATTAGCCAAGGACCACATAGGGCCGTGGGAAAGGACTGTTTCTTCCAGATCCCAATTCTTATACCGTCTTGCGGGCACTAAATTCTTTGAAGCCTCATGGGCCTCAAAGGAATTAAGGATACATTCTATGACGAATCAAATGATTAAATCTGTAAAAAGAATGACAAGAAACGAATTTGCTTCTCCGATTCAACGTTATTCCCGCAGTGAGAGGAAAATGACGACAAATAGGACGGATAAGAATAGTTCTTTTCGTGAATTACAGTGCTCTGAAAGTGAAATCTACAGGCGTTATTTCGAAGTTGGAATCAACATTTAGTTAGAGTGCCCCCTCATTAAACTTTCATTTGAGCACTTTTAAATGAAAGAAGTGCTAAAATTATCTGGGAAAACCTATACCATTCCATGTTATTTGTAGTTAATTACACATTTTGATAGACCTTCCTCTTTCCTTTAGAATTTCAGCTTCAATCGCAATATCTCGCAGTAACTCCAGGTGTATTTACTTGCATAACCAATGTTGGACACTTAGTTCCTACACATATCATATGCAAACCATTATTCCTATTCCCGCTTACCTTGTCTATAAACGATTTTGTCTCACATTGGTTGAGTTCATTGCTGCACAGGCAGGACCCATCCAGTCTCGGTCAGCGTTTCAACCTTCCTTGCAGTGGAATTAAAGTTATCAACGTCTTATGCCACAACACGAAATCCACAACAGCATGCTGTGCTAGCCTCTTTCGCCACAGTGGAAATACAGGCTTCTTTCATTCGTGTAAATCAGTGATCTAGTTCCTATGGTGTACAATTTACGACACTCATTTCTGCCTCTCTCTAGCCTCCTTCCAGGCAACGCAACCAAACGACGTGACGGCACGACGGCTCCCTTGCGTCGGCCGTTGCGTCGCGACGTCGTATTACTGCCATTATACGTTTGTACACACGCGACGCGTCCCGTGTCACGTCGTGCCGTCGTCCGTCGCGTCATGCTGTCTTATACGTCCTTCTTTGTTGCATTTTACCCAGCGTAAACGTCGCTCGTCGCTCCTTCCGTCGCCCGTTGCATCGTCATACGTCCCGTCCTATGTCGTGTCGTGCGTCGCGTATTACGTCTTCTGAAGCACAACACGACGTACGACGCGCGTGGGCTATCGCCCTTTGCTTCATTGTGTTTATAGAGGGCGCCTTCACGGTTTCTTTCAATTCTGTCCCCCGTGGTGGCGTAGTGCATGTCATGAGTAGCAGGCCTTTTTTCTGTTCTTTTTCATGCACTTCGTGTTTTCATTAATAGTGAGTTATTGAAGACTTTTTTTTCAAAATGTAAAGAGTGTCGCGTTGACCAATTATCTGCATTGTCTCCAGGAAATAAATAACATTAATTAACGTCAGCCACAACAATATTTTAGCATTTCCTTCTATGATTTTGATCTTTCCAATAATTATTTGAAAAACTATGGTAAGACACAATTCATCAATCATTACTATGCGCTTGCTAATGTAGCATGCGGATCTGATTACAAATTATGTGCACTGAAAAACATAGTTGCAGAAAAGACACCGTCACAATAGTAATAGGGCCCACAGTGTTTTTTTTTTTCAGAAGCACGAACTAATATCTTGAATATGCGGTGCTGATGAAGTTAACGAGGAAGACTGAACTGGACAAAGATTGAAGACGGAATATTCTGGGGGTAGTAATGTAGTGCAGGCTAGGTAGTAATTTCCTAAACCTGTGGTCAAACTTGCGGTCGTACAGTTGTAGACAAATTGCTTGGAGGCGCAGAAGTATTAGTTGGAAATAGCTGCGATTGACCACAGAGAAGTATCTACAGGGTTACAAATCTATCACAAATGGGATATTCATCAACTGTCTTAACAGAAAATCATCGACCGGGTAAGTAAAGAGTGACGAATTATGGGCTTATTATGTGAGAGCAGTTCCTACATACGCAGATTTTCTATTTGCCCTTTTATTATTTTTTTAAATAAAGTATGACAGAAACTATTCAAAGCTAAGCGTGGATGAAACATAAAACAAGACAAAAACCTATGCCTGCCACTCAGGGCATGTATTTTGCAAGAGCGGGAGACGAAACTGAAAGAAAACAGTAAAGGTGTCCTCTATAAAAAAAAATGTAATTAAAAAATGGAGCATAGGGCGACAGCTGACGACGCGTCATGTCGTGCGTTGTGCCGTGCTTCAGGCAACTTACTACACAACGCGACACACGACGCGACGCACAAAGGTGCGACGCGACGAATGACGTTTAGGCAGAAAAACATTCAACAAGGAAAAGACTTAGACAGCACGACGCGATGGGTGACGGTACGACGCGACCCAATTTTGCCGGCTATACAACACCATAAGAAGTCGGTAGTGCATTGTGTAGTTGTGTCGCCTCGGAAGAGCTTAAGGAGAGGTAGCAACGCGTGTCGTGAATAGTACACCATAAGTTCCCGCTTCAAATGCATGGGCGGAGCTACAGTCCCGTTCTATGCTCGCATGCACAAATATTTAACCCCAGGTTTAATCTAGAACGACTAGACAAATTGATAACCAACAAACAAAGCCCAACCTGTAGTCGATTGTATTCTCGATGTAAGAACTCGACGCGGAAATGGCGCGGTAAATCTGGTCTTTGTACTTTCGACCCGCCGATAATGAAAGCATCATCCATCATCTAAGTGTTTCATTAGCCAATATACTTATTGAAAGCAGTACCCTTATATTGAACAATCTTTAGTTTTAGACAACACAAAATAGCAAGAAGGGTGAAATATCAGCTATGAATTTTATTCTATTTACTGAATTACAACATGTGTAATTTTGTGTGGAAGCGTGCATAAGCAGCCCCCGTTGAGTTTCGTGAAATCCATGGCGGGAAAATAAAACATTAATTTTGTGCAAAAGATAAAAATACCACCAAAATGAACTTGTGCAGCATCTGAAAAAGATTTCCAAGCCCAGTGAGCTTCCAAATCGCAAGGACGCAGCCGCATCGTGCTGTTGTTGCCAAAGCATTGTCATGGAGAAAGACACAATTACTTCCCATAAAAACCTCCAACACCGTTGACAGAGAAATCTTGCACTGTTTAATCTGGGGCTGATGGAATTGATTTGGCAATAAGCGATCACGTAAAATGTGTGCGCTCTGCAACTTTAATATACTCAATTGGGGCACCCGTGC